GGACCACAGACTTTTGCCTACATATGACCACTGTTCAACATTTTTGAAAACAATTCTCTCAAAGTCAGAAGAAACACAGTTTCAGAAAATATTTATGGAAATCAAAGGCATGTCCGCTTGAACAAATAGACTGACCAACCTGGAATCAAAGAATGTTCTTTGCAATATTTATATATAATTTGAAATATATCACTCCATTTTCTAAAAAGCAATGAAACCGATTCGAACTTTGATAGTGATTTCTTTTTTTCCACCTTTCATTTTTTTTAATACGTAATTTGTGTAAATTTTACACCTCCTTTCGTGTATTGAATGTTCCTACCCGGTCCTTTCACTCTCAGATTACGTCTTAGTAGCATTATCGCCTTGCTTGGAGTGAAATGATAAAAAAAAACAAAAACTGAAAATGATTTTTCCGACTTAAATATTGAACTCTTGGTCTTTCGTTTCGCCATTTCTTTAATCGATAACGTTATGGGAATTCAAGCAAGGAAACTCTATGAAAAACATCGTTAAAAATATGAGGTGTTCATAGTCAAGCTGCAACAGACTCATTATTACGAAATTGGTCTGCAAAATTCCATTCTGAGGAAAGGTCCTTGGAAGATAAACCCAAACAAGGGCGTTCATATGACTTTGACGATGAAGCTTTGAGGTCATTAGTGTAAAGCAACCCACGGAAAAGTGCCAGGAGCAAAGATCTTAAACATTTCACCATCTACCAGATGACGGCAGAAAAGATAGGAAAAGTCATCAAACTGCGTGTTTAGGTTTCACACACTGTTAGCAAAAAGAAGAAAGAAAGAAAAAAAAGAAAACAAAAACAACAAAAAAAAAACGAAAAATGCGATGGATAAATTGTAGTCAAAATTACGCAAAAATGAAAGTTACACTGACCTCCCATTTTAACAGACAAATTTATCAAAATTAAAAAAATATCTTGAAATACTAAAGAATAAATTTATTCAATAAAAATACCATTGGCTTCAACCATGGCCTACAGACGACTTCGGAATCTCCTGCAACACTTCTGAACGGTCTCCATAATTATAATATAAACTATTGATTTGTGTTCAGGAACTCATAGCCGGGACCCTAACACGTGCTACCATCCAGATCAAGGTGGACCTGAGAACAACAGCTCAAAACCACCAATATCTTGATCAGAGGCCTTGCTGCCGGATGTAGTTTATCGTCTTACAAAAGAAAACAGATGAATAGATTTGTGTTATATGTTTACATGTGGCCTATCTTCACGAGAGAAATGTAGCATATCCAATATGAGTCCATGCCTTTTTTACTTTTCGTCAAAGGAATTGGCATACAGTCTTAGTCTTTTGAAGGATAGTTTTTTTTTGTGGTGAGATGATGCTGAGTGTTTAGAATTCTTGTAGTATATGAATGATACTTAGCTGATTTTGTCTCCCTGCAGAACTTAAATATCTAAGAATTGTATTTTTGTACTGCTTTTTCAGCACTTATGTAATTGGAGTATTGGTTTCAGCAAAGTAAGTTATTTGCCGTGTTCGTTATTTTGTTTGTCAGTTCAAATAGGTTTCAATTATATATATATATATATATATATATATATATATATATATATATATATATATATACTGGTAGGATAAGTACAAATGGAATATAATTTCCCTGTCCGTAACATTTACTTTAAAAGAGGGCTCAATACAGAGTAGAGCTAAAAATTTTACCCTTCACCAATAGTACTAATAAAAATAGTATCACTTTCCAAATATTTTTGGAATTTAAAAGAAGTTAATAAAACTCCTGCGGTAAAATGGAAAGTATTAAAAAACTAGAACGTGTAGATCATTAAATGAAACTTGTTTCTTATGCTTACTTGAAAATTATCAAATTTATTGATAACGACTGCTTATTAAACTAAAGAAGTGAACTAACCGTAAATTGTAGGCATAGCTTATTTTTTACCTTACAATATGGTTAAACTTTGAATTTGATAATACTTTTTATTGCAGTAAAAATTGGTAGATGTACTACGGTGCACCTTATATAGTTTAATATTCTGTTGTGCAAAATTCATTTAGATTTAATATAGCTCTGTATTAATGCATAGTTAGTATTATTAGCATCTTATATGGATGGGTAGATGTCTAGTTAGTATTATTAATATCTTATATTGATTAGTTTTGTATTATTAACATCTTATATGGATGGGTAGATGTCTAGTTAGTATTATTAATATCTTATATTGATTAGTTTTGTATTATTAACATCTTATATGGATGGGTAGATGTCTAGTTAGTATTATTAATATCTTATATTGATTAGTTTTGTATTATTAACATCTTATATGGATGGGTAGATGTCTAGTTAGTATTATTAATATCTTATATTGATTAGTTTTGTATTATTAACATCTTATATGGATGGGTAGATGTCTAGTTAGTATTATTAATATCTTATATTGATTAGTTTTGTATTATTAACATCTTATATGGATGGGTAGATGTCTAGTTAGTATTATTAATATCTTATATTGATTAGTTTTGTATTATTAACATCTTATATGGATGGGTAGATGTCTAGTTAGTATTATTAATATCTTATATTGATTAGTTTTGTATTATTAACATCTTATATGGATGGGTAGATGTCTAGTTAGTATTATTAATATCTTATATTGATTAGTTTTGTATTATTAACATCTTATATGGATGGGTAGATGTCTAGTTAGTATTATTAATATCTTATATTGATTAGTTTTGTATTATTAACATCTTATATGGATGGGTAGATGTCTAGTTAGTATTATTAATATCTTATATTGATTAGTTTTGTATTATTAACATCTTATATGGATGCTCTTTAGTTAACGGTTGCATATTAATTTACTAAAGTAGTTTTGAATTTATGATTCCTTTTTTTTTCTTTTTTTTTGTGTATGTGTGTTTTGTGTTTTTTTTACCGGTTTCTTAAAGAAGCCTTTTAATTATCAACTACAAAAAATTATTTAGAAACATGACCGAGCATATAGATAGATAATATTATACTAGATTATCTCCCCTACCCCATTTCTCCTTAACTTATTGTGAAAGTTGAACGTCATACTTCCTTATATTTTACGGAATAATGTAATCATTTGTATCAGACGCAGATGTAATTTTCTAGGATTCTATGTAGACAACTTCATGTCATGACCTCTGTAAATATTTTCAGTTCGTTTAGATTTTAACGTAGGTCTCATATTTCATTGGTTAATCATGGTAAACCCACAAGCCTCATTTTAATTCGTCTCATTTTTTTTTTTCGTCTCATGTTTCTCTTTCAAAAAAATGAGGAAATATTCTGTTTTTGTAATTAATCATTCACTAACCAGTATTTCACAGTCGCCCGAGGAGTTCACATTTGTAGTGTTGGAACACGATTGGTATTGTGTAGCGATTTTTAACGTTTTTGTTTTAGTCTCCGATAATATATATATATATATATATATATATATATATATATATATATATAATGGACTCTCCCGTCGATTTCGACGTATGAGGATCTGACAGATTAGTTGATTCAGTTATGAAATTTTCTGAGATAATCTTAAGTGGCATTTAAGACCTGCTAGTGATTTACAAAGGAGACCACATATGGAGCAAGTGTGAGAATTGTGAGATGAGATCACTCTTAGATTAGCTGACCTTTTAGATCTTGCTCTCACTTCTTCGAGATGATTCAGTCAAGCAGATTGAAAACTGCCGAGTCCACTAAAACACGCTGATCTCCATTCTACCCGCTCCAAGGCTAAGTGCTCAAGGGTGTTATGTGGTATATTCTCGAGGCCCTGCTTATCAAAATTAACAAACCGACATTCAACAAAAATTTATTACAAATATCGCAGCAAGATATTAAATTGTATATAACATTTAATGTCATAATCCTCAGTTTATCTGTGGTGATACAAAGAGTTTTATTGATCTCTTGCTCAACTGCGCCCCACACAAAAATCAAGGCTGTCGCAGTTTGGGGTGTTAGGTGACCAGATGTAAGGGTGTAAAGTCTCGTTGCCAGACATAGGTTTATCCAGCAGCCACCCTCTTGACTCAGCAGTACTACCTCCTCAAGGCACTTGATGTTGGCCTCGGTGTTGAGTATGAGACCCTCACCAAAATATTCGGGCGTTCCTTTCCTATAAGAACGATCAGAGTGAGTTTTCCGAGCTGTCTTACATTCGTAATCATCATTAGACTCATACAAATCTTTCTGAATCCTCTGCTCTGTCCTCAGATTGACACCCAAACAATCTGAAATGTTTGTATTGGAGCTCCGGTGCGAATGCCAAGCAGTACAGCAGGCTGTTTCCAAATTTCTGTCGGAGTGAATTGCGTCATGGTACGCTTTTTCTCACAGACGGTAGCCAGTTGACCATACTATCCTGTGCAGTTGACAAAATCAAAAATAAACAACGCGCATGCGCGAAATTAAAAATATAAGACACCCTGTATATCAGTGTAAACAATGCTATTTATTGGAAGAGTAAGAGACGGAAAATTTCGAGTACTGAAATGTTACGTGATATCTGTCATTCTGTATGACAGCGAATGTTGGACAATCTCCTCAAAGATGAAGAAAACACTTGAAGTATTAGAAATACGGTTCTACAGAAAGATGCTGAGGATACCATGGGCCGAAGATTTGAGCAACGACGACGTTTTGGGGACAATGGAAACAAAAAAGAAATTTATACTTAACATCAGGAAGAGGCAGTTGAAATTTCTGGGGCACATAATGAGGAAGAGGGCTTGGAAAATCTGATACTCACAAGGCGGATAGAGGGGATAGGGGAACAAGGGAAGGCAACGCGTGACATACTTGACGGGCTTGAGCAAATGGATAGCAGAAGAAGCTTTGGGGGAAATAACAAAAAGACAAAACTTGTAAAGAGCTAGAAGGTATAGGAAGAAGTGGAGGGCTATGATCGCCTATGTCCTGAAGAAGGATTGTAAACATACGACCTTCTCTTCGGCCAGCGAGAACCCAGACCCTGTACGTCTCTCTCGTGTCACTCTCATACACCACCCCAGTGCCCATCTATATTTCACGACATGAGGCTTTCTGACTCTGCCTTTCAAAATCTCTATCATCCTCCAACCAGAGGTTCGAAACTGGCCGTCGTCTTGACACCATATTCGGGCGGGAAGCAATAAAGAATTCTGTGACTTTACTTATATAAGCGATCTGTTAAAATTCCCTAACTTCCCTCTAAGTGAAATGATCTCGAAAGTTTTCATTTTATTTTATTTTATTTTTATTTTTATTTTTTTTAGGTGTTTCACCCCAAGCAACTAGGCTTACAGAAGATTTGGAGCAAGGTCAGATAGGAGTGATAGAAGAAAGGATGAGGAGAAGGATAGTGGATAGATCAAGGCAACTGGAGATGTCGATTGGCATTACATTTGAATAGCTGGAGATTATAGCTCTCAGGGAAACTGGAATAGGGAAGGGAGTTCCACAGGCGAGAGGTGCGAGACATGAAGCTATTGGAGTAGAAGAGACGGCTACATTTAATAGTTTTGACAGTGAAAGGGTGAGAGCGGGATGCCAGCCTCGTAGGGCGCTTGAGTTCATGAAGTCTGGGAACCAGCGAATGCAGCTCCTCGGAGCAATTACCATGAAAGTATTTGTAAAAAAGTCAGAGAGGCGAAGGCGCGTATTTACACTATTTCAGGCCAGTGACGGATTTGAAGCCCTGATTTCTAGCGTAGTCATAAAAATCCGGCTCAGATGAAATAATTCGCAATTCACTTTACTTCGCGGGTGTCACGAGCTTACGTTTATATCACGTTGAAACCCCGGTTCTCGTACGAACATCGAAGTTAAGCAATTAGATGGGT